TGTAACCCATTGAATAAAACAGAAAGCCATGAGTCTATCTGATAGAAATAAATAAATAAGTTGAAATTTTGATGAGGAAAGCAATTTTACATAGGTTCAAAGTACCCCTCTACAAAATATGTATTAATTATAAAGGCTAACTCTACTGTTGAGAAGATTAGATTAAATCACCTAACCAAGTGACTAAAGTGATCATCGTCATTAACGGGACACATCAAAATCTTGTACTACCTGACAGGTTGAAATAAGCATCACGTCTAAATTTCTTGCCAAAGATGCCTAACCTGAACCTAATTAGTTAACCCCAATTCAGGAACATTCTTCAAAATAATTGACTTACGATTTTCAAAAGTGTCATGGTCATGAAAGATAAGACTGTGAAACAGTTCCAGATGAAAGAAAACTAAAAAATATGACAACTACAAGGCTACTTCAAAAAGTTCATGGAGACATTCATATTACCTTTCAATTCTATTTTTTCACAAACTTTTTAAAGTACCCTCACACATGAAAGGAGTGATTCTAAACTAAATCCTTTTATTTTAAAGGATTTTGGGGGGCAACATATAAACTTGAATGGATTCTGAGATTTAAACAGTAATAACAAATCAAATTAATTTTCTGATTTTAATGGCTCTGATTGTGTAGGAGAATGTCCTTCCTTGTAGGAAACGCACACCAAAGTATTTAGGAATGATGCAGCATCAAGTCAGCAGCTTACTNTTCCAGATGAAAGAAAACTAAAAAATATGACAACTACAAGGCTACTTCAAAAAGTTCATGGAGACATTCATATTACCTTTCAATTCTATTTTTTCACAAACTTTTTAAAGTACCCTCACACATGAAAGGAGTGATTCTAAACTAAATCCTTTTATTTTAAAGGATTTTGGGGGGCAACATATAAACTTGAATGGATTCTGAGATTTAAACAGTAATAACAAATCAAATTAATTTTCTGATTTTAATGGCTCTGATTGTGTAGGAGAATGTCCTTCCTTGTAGGAAACGCACACCAAAGTATTTAGGAATGATGCAGCATCAAGTCAGCAGCTTACTCTAAAATGGTTCAGTGGGCAAAAAATATTCTTTATACTATACCTGTAACTTCTTCATCAGTTTGAGATCATCTTAAAGCTAAATACTATTTTTAAAATATGACTTAAAAATATTTAAGATTTCCAATATATCTGTTGAATCATAATGTCATGAAAATGTAGGACTAATTTTGTGATACAATCATTGAAGAGCTATAACTTACACTAAATATAAATTTGAAAGATAGGACATAAAAGCATACTATTTATTTTTAAAAAGTTACTTAGAGAAGAATTTTCAAAACAGCAGCATAAAAACTCAGGCAGGTATGTGTAGTGAAAACATCTTCAAACAGTATCTGAGGCTGGAGGCTGAAAATTCAACGAATTTTTCATAAAACCTTGGTTTTTAACATGTTCCTAAAAGATTAATAATGATGTAAAAAGTCAGCCTCAACACAGATCAGTTTATTACAAGAATATTTGATATCTCTGAAATGTGTGATGTTCTATCAGTGATGGCCTGTGATATTCCAATTCTTTGTTTTGACTTTGTTCTAATTGAGTGGTTGAAAAAAGATTGATTAATTTTAAAATAATTTCAAAATTGAGAACACTATTTACAACACAGCTCACTATTACATAGATTTGACTATTTTCTTCATCTAATTATGTGCTCTGTAACAACTATGAGCAGTCAAACTGGACATAGATTGATCACTTCTTTATGAGAATGTCAATTGCCCTCTTATTAAAAGAAAACAAAATACTACTGTATCTTACAAAAAAACACCAGTCACTTTTATTCTTTTTATGCTTCGAAAACAGACCAAAAATATGTTTTTGCATAAAGAGCTTTAATGACTGTTCAAATTATTCTGTTTTTATTTCTTTGTAATTGTGAGTGTTCTAGAAAGTTCCAGAGATTTACAAAATCAGTAAGGATAATAAGCATATAATTGTACTTGGAGTCTACAATAATCTTTGAAATTATATAAATCTGAGATTTAAAAGTTGTATACTTAATGTATTTCCACACAAAAATCTGTACAGATATTTTTATGGCAACTTTACAGATATATTCATAACTGCCTAAACTTGGAAACAACCAAGAGGTCTTTCCATAGGTGAATGAATAAATGCATATTACTAAGTGAGAGAAGCTAATCTGAAAAGGCCACATACTGTATGATTCCAACTACATAACATTCTGGAAAAAGTAAAATTATGGTGATAGCAAAGTTCACTGGTTACCAGGGACTGGTGAGAAGGGAGATGAATGCACAGAGTAAAGAGGATTTTCAGGGCCGTGAAACTACTCTGTATAATACTACAATGGTGGATACATGTGATTATACATTTATCAAAATCCACAGAATGCACAACACCAAGAATGAAACCTAATGTAAACTATGGACTTTGGGTGATGATGTGTCAATGTAGGTTCATCAGTTGTAACAACTGCACCATTCTGGTGGGAGATTTTGATGGTGGGGTAGACTGTGCATGTGTGAGGGCAGGGGTATATGGGAAAGCTCTGTACCTTCTACTTTATTTTACTGTGAACATAAATTGGCTATAAGATATAAAGTGTATTTAGAGTGTGTTGCTGATACCCCTGAGGTCTGGGGTTTGATCCCTATACCAGTAAGTAAGTAAGTAAGTAAGTAAGTAAGTAAAGTAAGTAAGTAAGTAAGTAAAGTAAGTAAGTAAGTAAGTAAGTAAGTAAGAAGTAAGTAAAGTAAGTAAGTAAAAGTAAATAAATGAACAAATAGACAGATAGATAGATAGATAGATAGATAGACAGATAGATAAATAAATAAGTCTACTTATAAAAATGGTGTTGTTACCATTCAAAGTCAGAAAAGGATGATTGTGTGCAGTGTTATCAAACAATTTGTATCTCTCAATTCTTATTTTAATAGTTTCTAGACACAGACACTTCCTCTAAGTTTATTGCACAAACTTTTCTTATTTGTGTTTATGGGACAATTTTTACTCCTTAAGTTTATATCTCTAATTGTTCTATTCAACAAGTAATTTTCAACATTCCAAACCAGTGATGCAAACAAATAACAACAGGAACTTTGTTTCCAATGAGTTTTCTTTCTTGTGGAGGAGATAAGATTAAAGCATTCTAAACAATCCAAGAACCAAATTGTGATGAAATTAATCTCTTGGTGTATATTAGCTGGGGAGAGATTAATGTGATCGCTCATTGAAGTCCCAAAGTTCTTAGAGGCCTCCACATTCTATTAAATGATCATTCATAGAGGTATGAATATAACAAGTTAGATATTTCAAAACTTTAATTTTTAAACTGGCTTTGACACTCAGAACACATTTTCTGCTAGAAACTTGGTTGTAAATAGTGACTATTTTTTGACTACTCAAAATAAATAAATAAATAAAAGAATATTTACCTAGGAGGAGTAGACTTTCACCTAGCTGCAGGCCAATGTCTGCCGCAGAAATTCCAACAAGGCTGGAACCCAAACTTAGGGAGGAAGTGAGGGTGATGAAGGGGAATGGAGGATTTCCGGAAATTGGGGAAGGGGTGAGAAGCCAGAACGGGACCTCTGGAATGAGGCTGGGACCTTGAAAAGACTGAGTGGCGCTGAGTGGACCTGGTGTTGAAACTAACTCAGAAAGTTCATGCAGTAAAGCTCTTGGGCAAAGGGTAGAAATAAAAGAAAGTGAGCTGTATTTCTTCCTGCACCCCACCATATCCCCAGAGGGGCTCAGTAGTGGCACTGCCATGCTCCCAGCTGCTCCAGCCAGTGCAGCAAATTCTGTCCATTCTACCTCTGTATTACGTGTCAAATGTGTCCACTTTTCTCATGTCCACTGACACTGTCCTAGACTAATCCCCATCACCTTTCAGCGGGTTACTGCAGTCTACTCAAGGGCAGTCCAGCTTCTAATCTCGCCCTCCCTAGACACCCACCCCCAACAGCCAGAATAGCGTTATAAAGCGTACATGCTGTGCCCAAGTAGTGCCTTGGTTTAGTAGCCTTTGTTAGTTTTCCTTTGCAGTTTAAATAAAATCTGAGCTCCTTCCTCTGCCCAAGGACTCTTCTCTGCTGCACCAGCTTAGCGCTAGCACCCATCTCTGCTCACTGCACTCCACAGCAGCCTTCCCTGAGTTACCCAATCCTCTTCATCACCTCTTCAGCCACCACCACCCCTCCCCCACTCCCATGGGTGATTTCCTTTACTTCCTTCAGATCTCAGCTTAAATGGCACCATTTTACAAAGGCCCTCACTAACTACGCCTTGTATAAAGCTCCAGGACATAGTTATTTTCCATTATAGCCCCTGTTTTTTTTCTTTTCGCATCTCTCATAATTTGTAATTATTTGTTGACCTGTTCCATGTGTCCTCCCCACTAGACAATAACCTCTAGGGCAGGAACTCTGTTGCATTCAATGCTGCATGCACAAAATCTTGCCCGGGGCCTCACACTTAGGAACTATACAATACACGAATGAGCACCTGACGTGTGCTTTCCTGTTATCCTCTATACCTTCTCCTTCCAGACCAGTCTTGATTCTGGCCCATAGTAAGAATATGATAAATTCCTATTTTTAAAATGATTGGCAGAAAATTTTTTGTAGAAGAGGGGAACTGAGCTGAACTGTGATGTGTGGGCAGATATCTCATAAAAAAAGAGGGATAGAGAGGACATTTCAGGTGGGAAATAGCATGAACAAAGGCAAAGAGAGGAAAATCCTGGCATCTTCTGGAGACATGAGAAAGAGCATCCTATTGATGAGAAGTTTCTTGGAAAATAGTTGGCATCGGGATAACAAGTAAGGTGAGGTTAGCGTATGGAGGGTTATATAAACCAGGGTGAGAAAACCAAATGTTTATAAAACATCAGGGGAAACCACTCTTTGCGATGCCTTTGTATCACCCTTCTTCAAATGTTGTGTCTCCTCCCCTCCCTTCGTCACAGTTGCTCATGGGAGCGGACAGGACATCCAGTGCCCCATTGGCTACTTCCCCTGCGGCAATATCAGCAAGTGCTTGCCTCAGTTTCTTCAGTGCAACAGTGTGGACGACTGTGGGAATCAGGCCGATGAGGACAACTGCGGTGAGTTGGAGCCCCTGCGGTCACAGTGAGAGAGAGGGGCCAGAAGGACTGAAGGAGAAGCTGTCGAGAATTCTCTTAATAACAAAAGAAAAGGGGAAGAGAAATCTGAACTGAAATACAAAATATATGTTGCTTAAGGAAATCATACATTTCTCTCATTAGCTGAAAATATCCATTCTTTTCTATGTAACAGTATCACAGCCAATATTTCAGGAAAGGAGTGATTGAGACACAGAGTGTTTTAACCCAACACATCTGCCCAGTTAATGTCTCAGAGGAAGAATGATGTAGAAATTGAGAATATGGACTCTGGAGCCAGGCTGCTGAACTTTGAACTTGGGTACAATAATAACTACGTAAACATGAAAATACTACCTAAACATGGTGCACCTCAGTTTCCCCATTTTTAGAAGGGTTTGATAATTGTACCTATACCATGAGAAATTGGAAGGATTAAATGTCGAGGATTAGAAGAGTGCTGACATATGGCAGGGTAAGTGTCAAATGCTATTACTCTTCCTTATCTTTTGTTTAGTACAATTAGGGAGGAAAAGCAAGAGCTCCTAAACAAGAAACAACAATTTGTAAGCACCACTTACCTATTATTTAACCAACAACCATACCTATGACCTTATAGAGCCAACAATGAGGGCTTCTGGTCAAGCTCTCGGAAAGAATTTTGTTCAAATTTCTGTAGCCTTAAAAACACAAATTTATAAAAGACTTGAATCGCTTGGGTGTGGCTCACTGGAAAAAATAAGCTTTGGTTAAAAGTGTAAAATAATAACATTTCCCTCATGGGGAAATAAAGTACTATTTTGGGAGGACAAAACACACATAACAATGTTAATATTCAAAGTGCTACATAAATAATATATACTAAAGAGGTCATGCTGATATCACTCTCTCAAGTATTATAGGCTTTTTAAGGCACTACCTTGAAGGAATTAAACTTCAGCTAACGTAGAATAAGATGGAGACCAGGCTTGAAAATCCCCAACCAGAAAAAACCAGCTAGCCCTCGTAAGCAAAACTTAACCTAACATTCCTTGAACAGTAAGTGAAACTTAAACTTAGGTGATTTCTTGTAAATGCTTCTAATGATCATAAACAAAACTCAAATGGTCTTCCTAAAATGGTATAAGGTAATACCAATTGCCTTAACCTGTCCCCTGCCATCTGCAAACCCTGTTGTAATAACTAATCATTGTAAAGGTTAAACAGCTTCTTCATTTTTGCTTTATGTCATGCTGTAATACATGTCTCTGAGCTTCTTCTGACCTGGGTTGAAGTCTCCCTGATTAGCAAGCCATACTTTCTTTTGTTGTATGATAATAAACTCTTAAATTTTTCTAATTTGATCTGATTTTATTTTTGACACTTCTCAGTTTGGAACACTATCTCTAGATGGTGGCTGTAACTCAAGTGTAACCACACTATCTAAACAGGTGAGCTTAAGTTACAATTGCCTTTGATTTGGATGCCTATGTGTTTTCTTTTTCAAAAAGTGGCATCTCGTTAAAACAACTGAATATTACACAAATTTAAAAAAATAAATAAATAAGTAAAAAAACAGCATTCTGCCCACTGCCAACCACTTTCCCCTCAACCTACTGGCAATTCAAATAGAGTCCTAGAGAGAGCCACAGGAGAAGTTCCCACCAATTGAAGTGGTGGCAGAAAGCAGAAAAAGGAACCTGGGAGGAGCAGCAAATTTACCACCAAAAGTGGGTTCTCAGTGAAAAAAGATTTGGGAACTCTAGCTTTACTGTAAATTTAAAGAGACCAAGTAACAGAAGTAGCAATCCTTACAGTAATTATCCTCAAAGTCATGCAAGTTTTTCAGGATTGACCAAACAGCAAATTAAGAAGGAGGCAATCAAGCATTTAGGTTTAAAGAGGAGGATC